TCATATTTTCTATTTCTTCCTGGTTCAGTCTTGGGAGGTTATACCTTTCTAAGAATTTGTCCATTTTTTCCAGGTTGTCCATTTTATTGGCATAGAGTTGCCTGTAGTAGTCTCTTATGATGCTTTCTATTTCTGCAGTGTCTGTTGTAACTTCTCCTTTTTCATTTCTAATTTTATTGATTTGAGTCCTCTTCCTTTTTTTCATGATGAATCTGGCTAAGGGTTTATCAATTTTGTTTATCTTCTCAGAGAACCAGCTTTTAGTTTTATTGATCTTTGCTATTGTTTTCTTTGTTTTTATTTCATTTATGTCTGCTCTGATCTTTATGATTTCTTTCCTTCTGTTAACTTTGGATTTTGTTTGTTCTTCTTTCTCTAGTTCCTTTAGGTGTAAGGTTAGATTGTTTATTTGAGATTTTTCTTGTTTCTTGAGGTAGGCTTGTATTGCTCTAAACCTCCCTCTTAGAACTGCTTTTGCTGCATCCCATAGGTTTCGGATCATCGTGTTTTCATTGTAATTTGTCTCTAGGTATTTTTTGATTTCCTCTTTGATTTCTTCAGTGATCTCTTGATTATTTAGTAACGTATTGTTTAGCCTCCATGTGTTTGTGTTTTTTATGTTTTTTTCCCCCCTGTAATTGATTTCTAATCTCATAGCATTGTGGTCAGAAAAGATACTTGATATGATTTCAATTTTCTTAAATTTACTGAGGCTTGATTTGTGACCCAAGATGTGCTCTATCCTGGAGAATGTTCCGTGCACACTTGAGAAGAAAGTGTAATCTGCTGTTTTTGGATGGAATGTCCTGTAAATATCACTTCAATCTATCTGGTCTATTGTTTCATTTAAAGCTTCTGTTTCCTTATTTATTTTCATTTTGGATGATGTGTCCATTGGTGTAAGTGAAGTGTTAAAGTCCCCCACTATTGCTGTGTTACTGTCGATTTCCTCTTTTATAACAGTTAGCAGTTGCCTTATGTATTGAAGTGCTCCTGTGTTGGGTGCATATATATTTATAATTGTTATATCTTCTTCTTGGATCGATCCCTTGATCATTATGTAGTGTCCTTCTTTGTCTCTTGTAATAGTCTTTATTTTAAAGTCTCTTCTGTCTGATATGAGAATAGCTACTCCAGCTTTCTTTTGACTTCCATTTGCATGGAATATCTTTTTCCATCCCCTCACTTTCAGTCTGTATGTGTCCCTAGGTCTGAAGTGGGTCTCTTGTAGACAGCATATATATGGGTGTTGTTTTTGTATCCATTCAGGAAGCCTGTGTCTTTTGGTTGGAGCATTTAATTCATTCACATATAAGGTAATTATCGATATCTATGTTCCTATTACCATTTTCTTAATTGTTTTGGGTTTTTTTTGGTAGGTCCTTTTCTTCTCTTGTGTTTCCCACTTAGAGAAGTTCCTTTGGCATTTGTTGTAGAGCTGGTTTGGTGGTGCTGAATTCTCTTAGCTTTTGCTTGTCTGTAGAGCTTTGGATTTCTCCGTTGAATCTGAATGAGATCCTTGCTGGGTAAAGTAATCTTGGTTGTAGGTTCTTCCCTTTCATTACTTTAAATATATCGTGCCACTCCCTTCTGGCTTGTAGAGTTTCTGCTGAGAAATCAGCTGTTAACCTTATGGGAGTTCCCTTGTCTGTTATTTGTCATATTTTTCATGTTGCTTTCAATAATTTTTCTTTGTCTTTAATTTTTGTCAATTTGATTACTATGTGTCTCAGCGTGTTTCTACTTGGGTTTATCCTGCCTGGGACTGTCTGTGCTTCCTGGACTTGGGTGGCTATTTCCTTTCCCATGTTAGAGAAGTTTTCGACTATAATCTCTTCAAATATTTTCTCGGGTCCTTTGTCTCTCTTCTCCTTCTGGGACCCCTATAATGCGAATGTTGTTGTGTTTAATGTTGTCATAAAGGTCTCTTAGGCTGTCTTCATTTCTTTTCATTCTTTTTTCTTTATTCTGTTCTGCAGCAGTGAATCCACCATTCTGTCTTCCAGGTCACTTACCCATTCTTCTGCCTCAGTTATTCTGCTATTGATTCCTTCTAATGTATTTTTCATTTCAGTTATTGTATTGTTCATCTCTGTTTGTTTGTTCTTTAATTCTTCTAGGTGTTTGTTCTTTAATTCTTCTAAGTCTTTGTTAAACATTTCTTGCATCTTCTCGATCTTTGCCTCCATTCTTTTTCCGAGGTCCTGGATCATCTTCACTATCATTATTTTGAATTCTTTTCCTGGGAGGTTGCCTATCTCCACTTCATTTAATTGTTTTTCTGGGGTTTTATATTGTTCCTCCATCTGGTACAAAGCCCTCTGCCTTTTCATTTTGTCTGTCTTTCTGTGAATGTGGTTTTCCTTTCACAGGCTGCAGAATTGTAGTTCTTCTTGCTTCTGCTGTCTGCCCTCTGTGGGTTGGGTTCTTTCAATGCTTGGTGAAACATCCCATTCTACTGATGGAGTAATTTCATTACAAAGATCTTTTACCTTGATCCAGAATTTGATCTCCATCTGTCCTACTCACCCAGTCCCCCTCTTCTCTTCCTTTAAACCACAGACATTAATTGTACTGGCACTTCTAATTGATGACTTTTCAAATATTTGAGAATAGCGGTTGTTATCCCTTGTTTTTGCTTCTCCCTGTGAAACTCCTCCCTCCAAGATTCTGCAGTGTTTGAGCACAGATTATGGTTTACAGATCCTTCACCACCTGGCTGGCTCCCTAGCAGTCCTTCAGAAAACATGTGCAGGTGCATGATTGGGTCTAGTGGATGGGAACAGATTTCAAGTGATGAGATGACCTTGCACTCAACTCTTCATTACTTTCATTCTATTTTTCTTTCTTTCAATATTTGTTCTTCCTATTTAAAGATGCTTGCCCTTCATAAGGGAAGAATAACAAAACTTGAGTCGAATGATTCTACATTTTGTCAGTCTTCTATCATTCTTCCGAAACACAGCTTTAAACCATGAATTCTCAACAAGGGTGATAGTACCCCTTAGACAGGGGCTAAAAATTGGTTCATGGGGACAAAGAAAGTCCGAGATATTAAAGTGATTTTGTAGTCCTGCAAAGCACAATCTTACTTGACAAAATCTTATTTCTGGGTATTTAATTTCTCTTGTTGGGGAGAATTTGAACTTAATTTTTGTCTTTAGGGGGATTGCTAATGAAAAACCGGTTGAAAACACTTCTTTAAGTCAAAGTATACCTACCAAAGTTCTCAAATGTTTTTAGTATTTAAAAAAGCCCCAATCTCAGGAGTTCCCTGGTGGTCCAGTGGTTAAGAATCTGCCTTCCAATGCAGGGGATGTGGGTTTGATCCCTGGTTGGGGAACTAAGATCCCATATGCCATGGGGCAACTAAGCCTGCCTGCTACAACTGGAGAGAAGCCCATGTGCCACAACTAAGACCCAACTAAGCCAAAAATAAATAAAAGCCCCAGTCTCAATAGGAATCTGCCTTTCTTCATTCTCTTCTTACATATATTCCCAACAGCGTGTTCTTTTTCCCCACGAGCCGGGGCTCTGAGCAAGTCTGGGAAAAGCCAGGCTAAGTGAGTTACACAGGTTTCTTTACTGCAGGGCTTCTCGGCGCCTCTCACATGCAGGAACGCTCATTTCTTTCTCAAAATCACCCTGGAAAGGAAGTTTCACAGCCTGCCCTCTTTTACAGTCTATGAAATAGGCTGGGAACAGTTAGGTGAATTGCTCAAGTTTCCATGGCCAGGAAGTTGCGGAGCCTAGGGGTGTGAGTGCTTCCTCGCAAGCGTGGACCAGTCCTACCTCTGAGGTTCACACTGCACACCTGCTTAGCACAAGACCTGGCACATAAAACCCTCAGCAAAATAGTTGTATCATTTATTTACTGTTAATGAACTTAACAGCCTATGGAGGCTCCTGGGAAGAATCATGGGTCGTACTGGTGCAGGTCACTTGCTAATTGTCCTGTGTGGTGGTTGAAGACCTTGGTAGTAGGTGTCAGATTCCAACCCTCTGCAAAGACCTTAAAAACCCCAACACCTGTGCCCACCTGTCTGGCTGTCCCCTCGCTCCTGCCTTGGTTTAAAACTAATCAATAAGCCCTGCCCGCTCCCTCGTTCCTTTTCCCAGCCTTTGGTTGGAAAGTGCTGAAATTAGGCCACTTTTGCTCCTCTCCAAAGGGCCTACAGAAGTGAGCCAGTGTGACCAGCACATTGTCTCAAGTGCTAGACTGGGTTTTGGCCTCCAAGACCTTGAACTTAGAAGGCACCCAGCCCAGTGCCTTGCACATCACGGGGCTCTGGCAAACGCCAGCCCTTCTCATTATCATCCTTGTGCTTCTTCCTTGTCCAGAAGTCACACTCTGGCTTCTCATTTGGCTTTTACTTTCCATTTCTGGCATTCGTTCTTGCAACATCTTACCCATCTGATATCCCAAAGCAGAGCGCGAGGGCTTTTCTGTAACCTTACCTGCAACCTCACACCTGGTCTCAAGAGGGGTGCCTCTTTAGGCAGGTGGGCCTCAGGTAAGATAATTATGTGTGCACCACCCACCCTGCACCTCAAATGAAACCATGTCAGAACACTGAGATGCCGGGGCAAGGGAAACAGCCACATTCCAGGAAAAGCATTTTTATTTTATTTAAAAATTATTTATAGTTTACTGAGCCTTCACAAATGCTTTATTTTAAAATCCTCTTTTTTTTTTTTAAATCTGAAGAAAATCTTTGGTTGGGGTGGGGAATAGGGAGGGGAGTGGTGACAGGCTCCTTAGGGATTTTGCATAGGGATGGATTAATGCAACAGCAGTGGTGTAAGGGGTAATGAAAGGAAGACTAGACAGGCAGGCCCCCTCGGGCCAGTGGCCAGCTGGGCAAGATGACTGCATGATGGCAGTCCTTGTTTGAAACTCACTGTTTACTGGTTTGGGTCGGAGCACCCAGCACCAAGGGCTGACACTTTGCCTATTTCTACCAGGCAAGAGCAGGTGTTGGGGGTGGGTGGTAGCTGTGAGTTATCTACAAGAAGTCATGCACTGCTGAGCCTCAGGCAGAGCCAGGCAAGGGATGTGAAGTCAATAATACATTGATGAAAGAGGCATCTCCAGCTGGAAAGTCTACTTCCACATGCTGTGTCCCTCCTGTTGGCAACACCTGCTCTGGTTTGGTGGGGGAGGGTGACCAAGTTATGTCAGGTGTAGGCTGTACAGCACCACAGTGTGTGTCAGGGGTTTCTGACGACTTCCACGTGGCGTGTGCCAGCTTTCCCTATCGATTTGATGGACACTTGAGAAGAATCTGTCTCAAACTAACCAGTATTCACTTCACTCTGCACTGCAGAAACTCTGGGCTGAAAGTTCCACTAGTTAAAATAGTGGGTTTTAACACTTTGTGGGTCTGAGACCTTTGAAAATCGTATGAAAGCTTTAGGCCTCTGGAAAACACACATAAGAACGCAGACACTAAATTCTGACAGAGTCAGGGGTTTCATAGACCCTCTGAAGTCCAACAATGGACCCCCTGGAGCAATCGACCCCAAGTTAAGGACCCCCTGAGTTAAAGGTTCCTCTGGGTATTTTCTTTTGAGATGCAAATAACCCAGAGGAATTATCAGCCTCCCCGCTCCCCATGTGATTATTGATTGAATGGGTGGGGGGAGGTGAGAGTAATGGTTTTGGAGGAAGGGAAGGGAAGCCTGAATAGTATACCCCAGAGAAAAGTTAGGGAATGGTTTGGAGATCAGCAGGTAGCACTGGATCACTGGATCCCTGATCTAGGGGTGGGATATACATCAGAAAGGGGGGCAGGTGTCCCAAAGACAACCTTCACTTACTTCCACATTTTCCCTAAGGCTGGCTGTGTGGTTCCGGATCAGAACGAGTTTGTTCTTCAAGTAGGTCTGTGCAGTCATCCTGCCATCTGGTGGTGATGCTTGGAATTGCACCTGCCCCAACATCAGGTGAAAAACCAGAGATCTAAGATCAGTACGTTCTTAGAATAAAGTACGCTCAGCTGACTTGCTGGAGTGGAGTAATGGGTGGGGGTGGGGGGAATGGATGAAAAAAGAAGAGTGATTCTTCAGTGTTCCAGTGTAATATACACTGAAGTCCCATGAGAGCTTGCATCCTTCTTGGCCGACCTGGGCACTCTTTGGTTTGTCATGGCTAAAAACTTTCCACATATATATTTTTTGAACTTAAAACCTGAAGTTCCATCTCTGGCTCCCAAATGGGGTTCTCTGCTCCCTGCTCCTCCTCTTCCAGAGCAGATTTATTGTTGGATTGATGAGTACTGATCAGGAGCCAAAACAGATGTGTCCCTGGGAAATAACAGTGACTTGAGGTTCCATCTCACATTCTTTCCATTCCAGCTGAGACACACCTCCCAGGCTGCTGGAACCCTTATCTAACAGGAAACTGGTCACTGACAGTTTTCTGTCCTGTAACTTCACATGCCAACGTGACTGTCCCGCTGGTCTAATGTTCTGGAGGAATTCGTGGTGCATCTCCTGAACTAATCTTCCTATCTGCTGCTCCAGCCTCCTTTGTGCCCGTCTGCCAGTGGCACCTTTTGACCTAAGCTAAGTATGAAATATGGTGCCAGGGGACACCAAAGAACAAAAAAGGGCATCAGGGATCCTCGAGTGGCACTGTCAGCCTGGGGTCATTTCTTCTCCAGTCCCAGACTGTGCTGTGGATAAAACCATTTCTAGCATGTTCCACTGAGGCACCTCCTTCCGTTATGGCTACCGCAAGGCTCTGAGTCAAACTGGAGGAACGAGGGAAAATCTGCCAAACTGACAGCTAGGGGTGAAGAGGTGGCAAGGAAAGCGGAACGCTCTGTCACCTGTGGGAGGCCTTGGGGAGAAGCAGATGATGGGAGGACGGGTTCTCCCCAAAGCTCTGGAATCTCACGCACCCAGCGAACGCTGACTGCCCTGTCATGTGATGAGAGGGGTTAAGTTGGAGTTCTCCTCAGAGGTTCTCTCTCCATCTGGTGACCTCTTCCTTTTTTGACCACCTGAAAAACACAGCTTGTAAGGATCAATCTTTAAGACTGGGAGGACATTGATACTCTCTCGGTGGTCTAAGCTTTCTTCAAAATAGAAGCAGGAATGGAGACAAAGCCCTTGATAGTTTGTCAGAAGTAACCTGCATTGTCTCCTGGTGCTGACATCAGCATATTTACATCTTGAAGGATTAGGATGCACCTTCCCCCTGAGATGACATCTCCAAAAAGCCGCGCACCCAGGCTAGTGCCAATGGAATGGAGATTTCCTGGAGGGGACTGAGTGAAGCCCACACAATGCCTCAGGATCACGCCCCACCATCCCCAGCTCAGATGACTGCCAGACACCCTCTGAGAGAGGGCTGGTCTCACGGACTTTGATGTCCCTGAGCCAGGGGTGGTGGGTGTAGCTGGGAGCCACACCCCGCACCGGGGACCTACATTCTCTAGATCAGAGGCAACCTTCCTTCTGCACTGGGGTACGTGGGGGTAATTATGTAACTGCCCTCAAGGATGGAAGGGCACTCTGTTCCCAGCTCCACTGTTTTTAGGAAGGAGTATTTTTCACCTTGTTCTCTCTGCCATGGACTTCTTTCCACCGAGGATATTGCTTTCCTTTTTATTGAGTGTCCCAAACACAAATTCTTTCCTTAAAGGACCAGATTGTAAATGTTTTAGGTTTTGCAGGCCATTTGGTCCCTGTTGCAACTACTCAACTCTGCCATTGTGGCCATCAATAACAAGGGGCTTCTATGATCCAGTAAGTCTTTATTTTTTACAGGAATGGGCGGGGGAGGGAGGTCAGGATTTGATCTGTGGCCGTGGTTTGCAGACTCCTGTCCTAGATGACCACCAACTGAGTGGGACAGCTCCCCAAAGTATCAAAGGTGCAGTACTGCCTGAGCCCTATTATGGGTATCCACAATTGTACCTCATTAGAGTTCCCAACAGGAGTCAATGGTTCCTCCTCCAGGAATAAGATCCTAACGTGTTTTTTGTACTAACCAGCTGGCGGGCCGTTTTCATCTGGGTGAAGAGCTACTCACTCAAGGTTCTCAGCAACTTCTGGCCCATGGTTTCCTCAAAGCTGCTGCTGCAGCGGCTGGTCTCTGTGTCCAGGTTGATATGACAACATTCACTATCTGATGCTGAGAGAAAGGAAAGAAGAAAGAACACAAGCCTTTCCCACCTACACACCCAGGGATCCAGGTAGGGTGTTTTGGTTGAGGTTCCTCAGCAAGCGAAAGTTCAAAACCAGCTTACTAGCTAGTCTCTGGAGCCCAAAGGAAGGGACGAACCTTAGTAAGAGTGATGCCTGACCTCAGTTTCCTAATGTGTAAATTAGGCCTAATAATAACTATTGATACCTAACATTTAGGGAGCATGGTACCAAGTACTATGATGTGCCCTCCTGTAAACGTGATCTCATTTATGCTCAGAGCTACTTCATGAGCTAGCCACTGTGATTTATATCTACTAATATAAGGAAACATATCTATTAAGATAAGGAAACCTAGTCTTAGGTTAAAGTAACTTGCAGAGCTCCTAAGTGGAGAAGCCAGGATCTGAATCCAGGTGGAAACCTAGCTAACAGTGTCCTACACACTGTTTTCCTAGGAGAATGGATTAAGATGGGTCTGACGCATGGTAGGTGCATAGTAAGCCTTAGTTTCCCTTCCCGGGTGGAATAAGGAGGTGGGAAGTTTTACATGGGGACGGGGTCCCAGACTTCCCTCACATGGCTCACCCTGGGCCATCCCAGCACCTGGTGGCCTTGACCCCCACCCCCACCTGTTCCTGCAGGGCCCAGTTACCCTCCCTGACCTGCTCTCATGGGAACAGCTGCAGGAGACAGTGAGAGTTGCTGCGTGCTCTGCCCCTCGAAGTCTGTCATCTCCTCCTGGGTGAAGGCCATCTCCTCCATCCTCAGGTACATGACCTCACTGGGGCTTCTCAGCCCATCTGAACGGCTGCCTGGGGAGGACAGTGAGTGCGTCACCTCCCTGCTTTGTAGAAGACCTGGGGCCCCATGAGGACAAGATGGCAGCTCTGGGCAGGACTGAGGAGGAAGGTAGGGCCGTCCCTACCCCACGGTAGCCCGGCCCATCATCCTCCCAACTGACTTACACGGCAGGCTGTTCCTGTTGCTCAGGAGGGTGACGGCAGCGTCATCCTTGGGGGTCTGGGGTGTGCCCCGGGTCATGGGGGCCTTGGTGGAGTCTCCGTCAGTGAAGGCCTCCACGTCGGGGGACTGAGGTGAGCTGTCCATGCGGCAGGCGGTGAGCGCATTCTGGTACTGCTGCCGTGTGATCTGGAAGGAAGGGGCGGAAGCTCAGGAGGAGCTGGGCAGAGCCCTCCCTGGATGTAGTCTGCCTCCCTGAGCTCAGAAGCAGCCCCACTAAGGTGCTTGGGAACGCCTGGCCTTGGTGGCCCGGGATCTATGATCTGGGGGCCTTACCCAAGTTGTACCAGCCCAGCAGTTAAGGGACAATGAGGGGACCCTTTTGCTTGTTTGCCACCAGAGCTCCCTCTGTTCATTTTTATTGGCTCTGGACTCTAGCACCTGGCGGAGCCAAGCCTTCTCCCGAGACCCAGGAGAGGATGGAGGGCATCTTCAGTTAGCAGGGTGGTTGCCCACTGAGAGGTTTAAAACACAGGCTTATACTGTTGCCAAGGACCCTCTTCCTAAAGGGCAGTCAGTGGGGACTCGGCAAGAGCAAGACCCCCAGCTTGTGTCAAGGGCTGAAATAAGAAACCTCCAAATGAAGAACATAAACTGGCAAAACCACCGATGAAGCCAATTTATTACTATTATTTTTTTCTGATGCCTTCCATAGTCATATAGGAATCCATCTGATAAATCCTTCATGAAATTAGTGCCAGGAATAAGCTCCTTTCTCTAGATGAATTATATACTTTCTTATACTGGATGAGAACTCAAATATCCACTAGGTTTCTCCTTTTTCCTTTTATGACCAGGAAGCTCACAAATAAATTTATTTACTTGCAGTAACAAACTCATCCCTGATAGCGTTTTCACAAAATTGGTTTGCAATTTCTTTTCAATTTTTTATTTAAAACATCGTTGGGTTATTTCTTTTGGGAAACCCTACATATTACTGAAAGTTCTACAAATATCCTAAAGAGATGGAACTGATGATTAGATTTTCAGACGCTGGTGAAAGCTCTAGTGCTAATGTTACCCAAGAGAGCTTGCTTTTGCAGACAGATGTTGGGATATGAGGATGGAAACTTCCAGCCACACAGTGCATTATGGCTCACAGAGCACTTAGGAATGTGTTGTCTCCTTTGGTCACAATGACTGCATGGGGTAGGCATGAGAGGTTTCGTGATGCCCATTTTACAAATAAGAAAATGAGGTCCAGAAAGATGGGGGACTTGCCTAAGGTTTGACAGTTAGCAAGCCTTCAGAGTCCCAGCCATGTGATGTGTGTTCTGCCTGGGAAAGTGCTATTCATTCTTTGGGGCCAGGGAGATGGAAGATGGAAGTGGGAACTCCAAGTTCTCAGAGGGGAAACTCCAGGGTCTGATAATGGCACCCCTTGCAATCTGGGCATTTCACTTTAAAGGGCCTTTACTCTTGCTCTCCAGGGGAAATCATCTGAGCTCAGCTCTGTACACTGCAAACACACTTGGCTGCATTAGGCTGCCTTTCACATGCCCGCGGAGGCTGCCTTTCACATGCCCGCGGAGGCTGCCTTTCACAAAACTTTATGGGAGGTCCCCCCAAAACTGCTGTTTTTTTGGGGTCCATAGGCATCAGATGACTGAAGAGAAGCTGGCACATGGTCTGAGCCAAGGTTATCATCAAAACTCAATTTTCTAATGTGCCCATGGGTGTCTAAAGGTGAAGCTTTCTTCGGAGTCTTGCGGGTTCTCCTGGCTTGAACAGGAAAATTTCCTAAATGACACTTCATAAGCCCAACAAAGCACTTGATATTATTGTTTGGGTTCTATTAACTAGTTAGTTTAGATTTGGCTTCCAGTTTAGTTAAAGAAGACCCTTCGCCTAGAAAATATGGTGTGAAACACACTGCCTATTCAAGACAAAGGCACTGCCCATCGGTTACCTGCTCTAGGCATCTCACAGCCTTGCTTTCACACTGCTTCCACTTTTTAAGCTAAAACAAATATCACAAATACCATGTCAATGTGTCACCTTGAAAGAAATTTGAGAAGGGACCTCTCTGGAAATGTATTCAGGGAATCTACCCAGCTGCACTTCTAGATTCAAGCATCACTTTTTGTCAGTTCCCTCCCCTTGTTCACCTATGAAGCCTTTTCTACGTACTACAGTACTGTCCAAGAGAAAAATAATGTGAGTCACATAGGTAAATTAAAATTCTCTAGTTGTCACATTTTTAAAAGGTAAAAACAAACATGTGAAATTAATTTTAATAATACATATATTTCATTTGACCCAATGTATCCAAAATCACTTCAACATGTCACCAATATAAAATAATTAATAAGGAATCTTACATTCATCTTTGTACCAAGTCTTTGGAATTCAATATGTATTGGGTTGGCCAAAAAGTTTGTTTGGTTTTAAGTGAGACTAAAAGACACATTTTTCATTTTCACGGAGAACTTTATTGAACAACGTATTCACTAAACGAATGAACTTTTTGGCCAAACCATTATTTTACATTTTACCAAACATCAATTTGGATGAGCCACATTTCATGCGCTCAACAGTCACATGTGGCAACTGGCTACTGTATCGGACAGTGATGGGCCAGCAGATCAACTAAACGGCTCTGCCCAGTTTTGATAATACAGCCTTGCATGGCCATAGAGTCCCACTGCTTGCCAGTCAGAACCACTGGTCCAGCTCAGCTCCTCTTTCACATTCCTTGAATGTGCCATGTTCGCTTGCCTTCCATACCCCTATTTATCAGTGTTCCCCAGTCCTCGCTCTTGGCATTGCCTTCACTCTCCTCTTATTCTTTCCTAATTCTTAAAGGTCCAGTATATTCTCTAGACAAATTAGTGCTTAAAATAAAGTGCCATACGATTTTGTAATCAATTAGATACTACCCTGCATTGGTTACTGTCATTTGACTTATGTTTCTTCTCCCCAACTGTATTTCTTGAGTATTGGTCATGGTGCCCAGAACCAGCCTTAGTGCTCAACAAATACTTACTGATTGGCATTGAGGGAATCTAACCACTGTTCCAAAGACAATATGTTCTTATTCTTTTTTCATTGCTGTAGCTACAACCATTTCTTAACAATAGCTTGAGTTAAAGTTGCCTTATACTCTGGCCAGTTAAGAACTCAAGCATCCTCTAAATTACATAGGAAATGGAGACCTGTTTATCTTGAAACTAATAGGAGTTAAGGGTACCCTTTGGGACATTTTGACTTAGCAGTCGATGTGTCCAGAAGTTAACCTTTCAGCCAGTGTGATGTTTCCAATCATTTTATGATGTTCTGTTTACATTTTCAACTTTCAGGTGGTTTATTCATCCCTCAAAACACGATTCTGCAATTTAGAGATTCTGCCACCAGATGGTGATGGGGCATCTTGGCCATGGTTACACAATTCTGTCTCTATGACATCTGCCAAATATTCTTCATTTAAAAATGATACTTACAGAATACATTTAAAAAATTCATAAGGATTCTTTGGTACCTTCATAACTTATTAACTACTATTAATCATGGCTTTAATACCTTTCCCAGATACTCACTGGATACACCTTTCTATCTAATTTTATCTTGAACTCAAATTACTACTGGACTTAATGAACAGTTCTAGAACTTAGTCTGTTGGACAGGAAAAGCCCTTGCAGACAGTCACAGGGGCTTTGGCCAGTGAAATCACCCCTTGAGCTTCCTCAAAAACTCTCTAAATGTTAAAAAAAGGCGTAAACACCACTCCTCAAAATCTCATTCACTTTTCTCCCCAAAGCCTCATATGGATTTTCTCAACTTAAGATATAAATGGTGTTATGGACTGAATGTTTGTGTCCCCTCCAAAATTCATATGCTGAAACCCTAACCCCCAAGGTGATGGCATTAGGAGGTGGGGGTAATTAGGTCATGAGGAGGCGGAGACTTCATGAATGGGATTAGTGTCCTTATAAGAAGAGAGCCTTGGGCTTCCCTGGTGGCGCAGTGGTTGGGAGTCTGCCTGCCGATGCAGGGGACGCGGGTTCGTGCCCCGGTCCGGGAGGATCCCGCGTGCCGCGGGGCGGCTGGGCCCGTGGGCCATGGCCACTGAGCCTGCGCGTCCGGAGCCTGTGCTCCGTGATGGGAGGGGCCACGGCGGTGGGAGGCCCGCATACCGCAAAAAAAAAAAAAAAGAAGAGAGCCTTCTTCTTCTCTCTCTCCTCCCCGCCATATGAGGATACAAAGAGAAGACAACCATTTTCAAACCAAGAAGTGGGTTCTCACTAGACGAGACACCACCTGGATCTGCCAGCACCTTGAACTTGGAGATCCAGCCTCCAGAACTGCGAGAAATAAATGTTTGTGCTTTAAGCCACCCAGTTGATGGTAATTGTTATAGCAGCCCAAATGGACTAAGACAAATGGAAAGACCCGAGAAGCAAACTTAACAAAAATTCCCAATGCACTTAAAACGGAATCCAGACACCATACTCTGGCCTAAAGATGCCAGGCAACATTGCTGCCAGCACTCCATCCCCAACTCACATCGGCCTCGTCTTTGCACATAACGCGCCAGAACAAAGATCCTCCTTGGACCACCAAGCTCTTTCCTGCCTCTGTTGTTTCTATCTTGAACATTCTCTCCACATCCCCTTCCAGGTCTCAACAAAAGAGACCTGCTCTCTCAGGCTGCTCTGACAACCATTTCTAAAGCAGCTTCCTTGCCAACTCTGCCCAATCACTGTTTATCCCATGACCCAGTTTATTTCCTTCATAGCCTTCATCACTCCCCTAGATTACCTAGGTTATTTATGTAGTTACTTGTTTATCATCTTTCTCCCCCTAGGAGCATGGAAGCTCTAGAAAGGTAGGAGCTTGCTGTCTTGTTCACCATGGTATCTCGCTGATGCCTATTCAGTGCCAAGCACGAGCAGGTAGTCAGTAAATACCTGTTGAACCACTGACTCATATAGCGACATTCAGTTTCTTTTCCCACAAACCATATGCCCAGTACTACAAACCACTAAGAGTTAGTTATAGCAGAATTTCTCTTCTCCCATTTTTTCCTACCTCCACTTCTGAGGAAGGTCTGCAATGAGAGGGCTTCAGGGCTGGAAGCAAGAGGGAGGAGGATCGTGGGCTGCGGTTTTCTGAGGTTCATTCTCACTGCCACGATAGACTAGTAAGTGTCCACAGTCATACACACCATGCGTGTTGTTGGGTTAGTGCCTAAAGCCCTTCTCCCAGGCTCTGTCAGCTCTGATTTCTCTAAACTCTCCCCAAAGCCCAAGGACTTGAAGGCTTGGACTCTGGAGACAGAGAGACTCAATCTGAAGTTTGGCTGTGCCACGTCCCAGTCATGAGACCTTATACTCCTCAAGCTCCCACGTCGTCTATAAAGTGGGGATGACACAGTACCTACCTGTTAAGGTGGTTGTAGGACTCAGTGGGAAATTCGTTCAAGGACTTAAAGTGCATGGCACACAGCACCCCACCAACAGTCATTGTCCCAGCCCACCCCCCAGGAGTGACCCCTCTTCTCCACGGTTACTTTTCTCAACGCTCTTGAGTTTTAGTTCAGGGTGTTTGCAGAGTTCTGGAACACAGAAAGCCAGCCAGCACACACCACCCTCAAATAATCAGGGTCAGTGTTCTGAGCAGAAGGAAAGGACCTCCTCCCACCTTTGTGATTTCCATACACCTCTCACCCGGCCTGCAACTGGGATGACTGTTACCAAGTGAGTGCGTTGGGTGTTTAGTTGGACTCAGGTAAATGGGTTCCCTTCTGATCTCAGGCCAAGTGTGTAATGGTTTGTGGAATGCTACCAAACAAAACAAACAAAACCTATCAAAGCAAGAGAAAGGAGGGAATCTTAGAATGTTTCTGTCCAATACCAATCTCAATGAGGGGTATGAAGAAACAGCTCTCCTCCTTAATTACAAGGCGATAAGCACTGCTGCCTCTCTCTACTGCACTTGCAAAGCGGCTCTCTTCACATAGCTCAGTGACAGCAAGGGGGTATAATAATATTTACAGGCTGAACTGTGTTTTAGACTTTAAATATTAACACGTAAAATCTTATCCACATGTAAAATCATAGCATGGTTTCTTCTATACCCTCGGTTTATTAATCACCTGCAGATTTATCTTGAATAAATAAAATCAACCTGGTGCCAATGGCGGGCATCCAAAGGAAACAGTTCTGCCGGCAGCTTGTCTCGGGCAAGCTAATTCCCTATCGCTTCGTGCCTCAGTTTCTCCACAATGAAAAATGGGGATCAGGAGATCTTAATGAACAATCATGGTTCAAACGAACAAAGGGACAATAACGGTGACAAATAATGAACAGAATAAAGCTAACCGAAACCAGGGCCTTTAGAAAGCCAGGGAGCAATTGCCACGCAGCATTATCTTGGAACAGGGGGAACAGGATGCTGCTGGCTGGGAGTGAGGGGACAGCCCTCCCTGCGGAGCTACCTTCACAAACTGCACGTCGCTGAGGATGTGGACTGAGTAGTCGGGTGTGTAGAGGTTGTTGCTGCTACTGCACAGCTGGGTGTTGCTTCCCCCAAAGTCGCTGCGCTCACGGCTCGGAGACTCGGAGCGGTTCAACCCGCTGCAGCGGGAAGGGGACCGGTTTACTGCAGAGGGTGAGAGAGAGGAGAGGGAGGAAAGGCAAGGAGGGAGGGGTGGGGAGGAAGGAGAGGGGAACAGAAAGAGGGAGAGAGAGAAAGGGGTGTCGTTTACCGAGGTCTCGCAGTATGTTTAGGTGATGGCAACACCGGGTGGTGGACTGGGCCCTCTCCCCTCCCATCAGAGCCCAGGAAAATGCCTGGCTGCTCCATTTATGAGGATCAAATGCCTAAGGCCTCGTGGCCCCACTCAGCTCAGGTTCCTGCTCCCCACGACCTCTAGAAGCGGGAAGCTGGGTGGGCCGCTGCCTTTCTCCGTTCTGGGGTATGTGCAGGAGATAAGGACCCTTCTATGAGTGTGGGTTGCTACCCCAGACCATGAGACCCTCTATTGGGGTGAGTTCTTTTATATAAACTCCATTCACAAACCTTCTTTTAGGAAGGCTGAGGCCTTAGGTTTGCCCTAAAAACCACCTGTCGCAGAACAGGTAAGCAGCCCTCACCGTGGTGAGGGGATGACGCAGGCCCCAACACTGGCAGGGCCGGGGACAAGTGGAGGCCCATAAACCATGTGGATAGATATTTAAATCATGTCAATAAACTGTTAAAATATGTTCTGTCCTTGTCTTTGACAAATATAACTTCTTAAAAACCTAGCAGGCCAGATAAGGCTCCTTAAGAGTTTTGGAAAATGGGCTGTAGGGGGAGAACCAGCTCTGCCCTAGGGCTTTCTGGCCCCGTCTCCCAGAGCTGGTTGGGTGGGGAATTCCATACCTGAAACGTGGTCTAGAAGGAAGAACACAGCTCTGGGTGGTACATCCCTTTGGCTCTGTGAACTACTCACCCCACAGAGAGGCGTGGAGCTGAGGAGGGCCAAAGAGAGGCCCCCTAAAGGGTGGGTCTAGGGCAGGGCTCTTTCTAGGCTCAAAGGCCGGAGGCTGGAATAACCCTCCAGGCCTTCTGTCAAAGGCCTCTTAAATGTTCAGAGCCGGCTTCTTTTTCCATTTTCAAGAACCACTTCTTGGGAAAGTTCAATTAAGACCACATCACTTGGTTTCAAAATGGACTGTGTGAACTACCCTCCCAGGATCAACAGAAGAGAAGAGAGGTTCTTAAGGTGACCCTAGCATTATCTCCACCACAGAATAACCCTGAATGAGAGACCGCAAAGCCCCTCCCACCCCTCTGCTTCCCAACTGACGCCACTCTTCATTTCTTCCCAAAAAAGAGAAATGGGAGGCTGTCAGCCTCTCCTAACTAACACAGATTCAGTTCAGGTGCTCCAATGAAGAGTCTGATTCCTCAGAGATTCTGCTCCTTGGTTCTTTCGGGGAAGAACCTTGGGAATTTAATTCTGTCTCTTAAGATAATGCTGCCATCCATCAAAATGATTAGCATCTATTTGGAGTGACTTCTGAAGGTCTGTCGATGTGTTTAGCTGCCAGGCTGTTATTGTTGTCTGGCAAACCACGTAGTAGTGGAAAGACTAAAATGACCATAGGTTGAATCATTTTCTCATTAGAACCAGAATAATCACTGCCTTGATCAGATTATAGAATTAAGGGTTCCACCTCCAGTTTTCTCCTTCTCAGTGTCATTCACATACATGCTGTTACTCAAACCAGAAACCTGGGAGTCTCCCGTGACTCCCGCCAATCTGTCAGCCCCACATCAAGTCTCCACTTCCCCGACATAATAAACTCATCTGCCCCTACCTCTGTCTCCACTCAAGTCCCAGTTACCATCACCCTCGCCTGAACCACAGCCTGGTCTCCCCAGTTATAATCTCATAATCTGTTCTCACCTCAGCTGTCAAAAGCACATTTTAAAAACACAAATCAGCTTCCTGTTGAATCTCAATAAAATCCATACTCCTTGCTGTGACCCCTAAACCCCCTATGACTTGAGCCCTGCTTTCCTGTCTGATCTCATCTTGGGGCTCCCTCTCCTCGCCTGCTTGTTCTGCTCTAGCTTACTGGCCACCTTGGGGATCCTCAACCATGTAAGCATACCCACCTCAGCAGATGCCGTTTCCCCTGCTCCCCCTCCCCCCATTTTAGCACCATTCCCACCCCTGCTCTCACTTCTCAGTCATTAGGTCTCAGCTGAAACACCGCCTTCTCTGAAGACCTGGTCTGGCCACCCTAAGAAGATTACCCCTATTTCCCTCTATCACTGTCCCCTGTTCATCTCTTTAAAGCACTTTTCACAAGTTTTACTTAATTACATGTTTGTATTTATTTGTAATGTCTACTCAGTTCAATGATAAATTCTATGAGGGCAAAGACCTTGTCTTTTCTGGTCATTGTTGTACATCTGGTACCTAGCACAGTGCCTGGCCCAGAGTAGGCACTCAATAAAAATGTACAGAATGAACAAATCAGCACCTAAGAATCCCTGAAGGAGTTTTTATTTAGAATCTAAATTTTGTTTTAAAAAGGTTTCAGGGCTCTCAATCACCCTGGAATCAGAAGGCTTTCCCCCTGCAACCTAAGTCATTTTAGGGAAGCTGACTTCTTGAAGTGAGGGGTGGGTAGAAGAACACTCCAGAAATGCACTGGAGTGTTAAATAGTGTGCAGTGAGACTCCAAGGGCACCAAGAAGCCTCAGGCCTTGGCCCATAACTTGAGGAAGAGGCCGCAGCGAGCATCAAGACCTTCTGTCTGTCTGTCTGTCTGTCTGTTTAATAAGAGCATGTGAAACGGGGGGTCCTGGAGTCAGGTCTCCTACTTATCCACTGGGTGACACCAGAGTGACCAGGGGCCGAGAGGGACAGTGATGGTGCCACGGAGAACAGAGTGAAACACCAAGGTGACTGTAAACAGCAGTAACATTGGGCAGAGAAATACCCATTTCACGTCTGGTCCTGATCCCTTAAAAACAAACCGATGAGGTCTGGCTTGCCTAGGCCCACTGTGGCTGTTCTGAGGCGGTGACTGACTAAGTAAGTCGGTGGTGTTTCCTCAGGGCTGTTGGTTGTGGGAAAGGGGGGCAGGCACTCCTGCAGGAGTGCAGCTTCTTTGGTGTGAGCAGAGTCTGGAAATCACACCTTGATCTGGTGGGTTTTATCTTCAACTCAGTTTGGAACGAAGAGAGAGAGTGTGGGCAGGCGTTTGTGGTTTCATTTACCCTGAGGAATGACCACTGCTCCTTGATAATCCTCCACCTTGCCTGGTGGGACACGTGCTTCACATACCCCACATCTGCTGTTCTACATCCTCATCCCTTATGTCATAATTCAAGATAGGGTCAGGGAGGCTGACAGGGAACCACAACCCTATTGTATCTGCTTAACAACTTCTGCCTGAATCACTTCTACTCCCTGTTGGAAACAGAGGAAACAGCTTCATCCCTGATCTCCCCAAAGCTCTCATCTTCACTGGCACCTAGCACAAGCATGTCACCCTGCTGTCACTCACAAGGACCCACATGTCAAACACAAGCGACATCACTGTTGTGCTGGGAGGAAAAACATGTCTTTTTTAAAGTAAAAACAATGCTATTGAAGCTTTATTCATAAAATCCCAAAGGATTCCCAACACCAGAAGATACAACGGTCTTACAAAGGTCGAGTATATAAAATCAATTTTTAAATGACAAAGGAATCCTCATTTCATGACAAAGAAAGTCCCAGCTCATCTGAATGTTGTGCAAGACCAATGTTTTTGTGTCCCAGAGCCTTACATTCCTCAACAGGTAGGATGCTGACGACTCGGCATTTTGGTAATTGTGCACATACACTCAAGAGGTTCCTGAGCAAGGGAAATGGAAATACTCTTAATAAAAAAAAAGAGAAGAAATCAGTAACAGACGAGTGTCCCAGCAGCATGGCAAACTACTTCAAGTTGTATAATTCCCCCTGGCATTTCCTAAGAGCACAGAGGCACAGCTTGGGGGAGTGAAGAGAGAAGGAGAATCCTAAGCACAGTGCAAAGAGGTCTAAGAGGCGACAGATGAGCATGAAACTGACCACAGGACCCCTCAACAGGGCCCAGGCCAAGCTTCCGACATATCCCTTGTCCACTTGTGCTCTTACATCATACCCTCAAGCTGGCCCTGGAGAGACTGGCAGGAGGGCAACCCTGGCGGAGGGCAGGGTTTCCTGCTCTAGACCCCCAAGTGCTGTGGAGAAGTGTGGAAGACCTCATTCCTGCAGACTTCACATGGTCAGTCTGCAAGAGATATCTGTCCTGGATGGCAAGTTGGAGTTACTGAGGTTGGGTGGAGAAGACACCGGGGTAAAATTGGGTCGGGGTGGGAGAAGGGGAGGAAGAGGATTTTAAACTGCAATTAGGACTGGATGGAATCTCCCCTCATCCTGCACTGATGGGCAGGGGCCCTGAAAACCTATGCACAGTTCTGCTTTACTCATGACACCTGTGTCTGGAGAGTTTTCGCAACTCTATCCCAGGGGCAGGACCCACGACACAGAAGAACATCCCACTCCCCTTTTCAGTCTGGGGATTTGAGAGGAGGTAGGGCTCAGCAGCTGCTCGCTTACATCTTTCAAAGCATCAGTGAGGGATGGGGAGGAATAGCTCACTCTGGTCATTGTCACTGTGCCACGGGGCATCTGTGTTCTCTAAACTGGATGGGGGAATTTAATTACATAGGCTTACAGGATTACAAACTAGGATTATTAAAATTCATCATTCTGGGGTAATATTCAACATCAGACAACCAAATGCCAAAAGCTCTCTGTCAAAGCTACAATGTGAACCCTGCAAATCAGCCCAAGTTAGGAGTCCAGATGAACTCACTCACGTTACATGGAGCTTTAATGGTTCCCAAATGTTTACTATGCAAGAGCCGACCCAAAGGAATACTTCCACTTACCACATTTCACAAAGTAAAAAGATTATTTTTAGGTACTCCCTTTATATTCTGGGGAAAATCTAACCTCACTGATCTCAGACTACATTACAGATGGACAACTGGGCATTGTAAAAGGACCCTTGCTTGCGACCTCTCTCCTGCCTTTGTGCTTTTGTGGAAGGACTGTCATGGGG